GCACCCCATGCGCCCGTCCGAGAGGTCTGCCTCTGGGCGCGGCTCTGAAGCGGCCGAAGCGGCGGATCGACCCCCCATATTTTTTCGACATGTTGGGGAAAAAAAGCTGTAAAACAACTGTATGGCCATTTGTTTCGGTCAAAGGCGTATGACCAAAAAAAACGGCCATATGGGGTCCCAGGAACCCCCTACCCAATAGACTACCTGGCACCCCGTATGGCTGTTTTTTTTCGGTCAAACTCCCGTATTTGGCCGTATTTGCCCGTATGGCCATGATTTTTCGGTCATTTGCGTAAATCACCCGTATGGAACCCATATTTTTTCGACATGTTGTTGAAAAAAAGCCGTAAAAAACTGTATGGCCATTTTTTTCGGTCAAAGGCGTATGACAAAAAAAAACGGCCATATGGGGTCCCAGGTAGACTAAGATTAGACTAACAACGGCCGAATCTCGAAATCATAGAAACAGATCTAAACTGTGGTTTTAGACAAAATCCGTGTAGTCCGAAAAACCAATCTAAAACGTAGCCCCGCAACGAGACGAATAGCTTAAAAAGACAAACCGAATAGACAGAAAAGACTCTACCAAATCGACAGACCTTTGAAACAGAACCGCGGTGTCGAAAGATAGGATAGACCGAATTCCTAGAAATAGATCTACGCAAAGTGCGGCAAAACTGCGGGCAAACTACGAGGAAAGCTCGGCTTTTTGCCGTCAGGTGGTAAAGATGCCCATTGAACCACTAGCATGCGTAGTAAAACTTGGAGGAAAGTGCGGGGAAAGTGCGGGTTTAGCTTTTCCAAAACTGCGACTTTCACAGACTGAGCCGCCAGCAGTTTGCAAGAAGTTTCGAGGAAACTTCGGGTTTCAAGGTTTGCCTAACACCATGAATTAGACCGAACAGTTAACCTAATAGTCAGAATTTCTTTGGCCTAATTATAGTCTATTTCCGTTTCCAAAAAACAACCGACAATACTACCGAATAGACAGAACAAGTTCTGACTAATAGTCAAAAAAATGCCTAGGCAAACACGAAATAGACCGAATCCGCAAATTTGTCGAATAGACAGTTTTCTGACTTGTCCGGTCTATTGGGTACCCAAGGCCCACCTGGAACCCCGAACGGCCACTCTTTTTTTTTGTCAAAGGGCGTATTTGACCAAAACAAAAACAGCCTTTTGGGGCTCCAGGCACTTTTTTAGGGTATCATGTACGGAAGTACCTGGAACCAGAAAAGCAGGCCTGTATTGTCGATGGTCTGAGCTGGAGGCGTTAAAATATTGATGGGTCAAAATTGAACCACCAGGAATTGGACCGCAGGTTTTAGTCCTTGTCTCCATTTCGCAGGGCAACCCATTTGGGGTGCCTATTTTTGACCCACACCCATTTATATGTTTTTCTTTAAGGCAACAAACACATGCCAACATTGAAGCAGGTGTGCCGACCAAAATAAGAAATCGTGCATTCTGCAAATCGGGCCTTCGGGTTGGCGAATCGGGTATCATGCTTTACTGGGTCTCGGTGTATTTAGGTTTGTGTTTCTCTGGGGAACCCTTTCTGGGGCGGTGTCAAAAAGAAACCAAAAAAGCAGACCACATGTTTTGGGCCCCCTATTTTAAGACAGACCCATTTTGGTTTTTGGTTGACAAAGGGGTACAACCCAAACCAAGTTGAGAAAGGAAGCACCTACTGTGTGCCAACGATGTTGCTCATTCAAGCATAGTGCAGACTTTGCTAGCCTTGCCCTAGTTTCATGCTACCCCGGATCCTCTCCGGATAGCGAAATCAAGAACAGTCGCGCGCAACAAGCCGCTGTCGCGCGCAACCCGTGCAAGCAAAGCTTGATGGATGCCCGCGGGAAAACTCCCCGGGACAACCTCGCCTCTGCAGCTTGCATTTGCGTTCAATGCCTTCTGGAAAGAAAACAATGCATATTTCCAGCAGTGAAAATCGATTCCCTTTACACACCAACAATTGGAACCAAAAAAAAGAAGAGGAGCCAACGGAAGGCAGGAGTCCAACATCTGCCCAGCTCTTCCATGGGACGTTGGCCTTGGGAAGTCCGTTTTTCATCTTGGGACTCGGAGTCTCTGAGTCGCCGCGAGTCCGGAGCCACGTTGAGAGGCGATTTCCGGAGTTCTCGCGGGAGCTTGTGGAAGCTCTCTGCTCCCTCCCCTCGCCGGGCGGCTGTGAAGTCCAGGTTCGAGAGCCAGCACGAAGGCTTTCAGCAAAACATCCAGTGCTGCTAATTAGGTCCTCCAGTAGAGAGGTTAGAAAAAGGCTACCAACTTTTGTCCGTAGTCTATTTTAATATCGAAACCCTCCCCAAAAAAAGGCTAAAAAAGGCACTGCTGGGGCACTTTGGCTTGGTTCTGTTGCACCACTTTGAAACCAGGGTTGAAACCATTGGTAGTATTTGCAGGGGAATCGAATCATTCCACGATGGCAAAAAAAACAATTCACCCAGGTGGTGTTTTTGGACGCTAGAGCATGCCGGAGCCCGCCGTACAGCTCACTGGCTTGCAGCGGTTGAGCAAAACAAGCAACCTGGAGCCTCAAAACTCCGTAGAAACATACCCCCTACTCCAAATACCCTCTCTCTTTTTTCGGGTATGATGTCGACCCTCTACTAAAAAGGAGGTATGATTTCCAAAAAACACCCTAGAACAAGTGGGTATGACACCACTTTTTTCATTACCCATGGGTAGTTTGAGGGTCCACGTACGCTCAAAAACCTAGGAGGGGGCTGAAAGGATATCTTGCTCAACAAGAGGGACCTGGTTCCATGCTGGCAGGACATGTCCCACGAGAGAAAATCCAAAGGGAGTAGAACCCCTTCAATTTTTGCTGGCTGTTCCTGGCCCTTTCGAGGGTTCCGTCCGTCAATCAGTTCCCCCAGGGATCCCCCACGGAGAATGACACATGGAGAGATGTACCCTTCCAAGGTCTTTTTGGCACCCTAGGTCCTCCAGTAGAGAAGTTAGAATAAGGGTACCCTTTCTTTCTGTAGTTTGTTTTAGTCGGGGAACCATAAAACACCTTGCACCTTTTGCGGGAAATGGTTCGAGCCCCTCGTGAAGGATTCCTTAAGGGGGAAACGCCCAACTTCTCACAGGAGGCAAACAGCCCCGCATGCACGTCACAAGGAAACTGACTGAGGGGTCCAGAATGAGAGTACTCTGAGTAACATGGGACTCAAACCCACCCAGAGGCTCATGTCGTCTTTGGGGAATGCCGTACAGACACTCCCCAAAAGTTTCAAGTCCCGCTGAAGAAGCGAAGTGCGCCAGGCGAACCCATTCACCCACTCCAAATGTCCGTGCTTTCTGTGTTTGTTTTTTCTCGTGGTATTTGTTTGAACAAAAACTGGTTTCATATGCCTCTGCTAAATTTACATATTTTTAGTAGAGGGTTGACATGACACCAACTTAAGCAAGCGATACTCTAAATGACTCTAAAAGCTTGGTTGCTGTTGAGCCCACTGCAATAAGTACAACTTTCTGCGAGTACGATGGACAACCCCCAGAACCTTGAGCAAGGAAAAGTTCAAAGGTCCAACCAAATAAATCTACCTGGGGCCTCAACTACTTGTCAAAGAAGGGCATTCACCCCATATGTTTGGGGCAACCCCCCCCCCCCTCCACCCCCAATAAAGGCGCTCTCCCGGCCAAGGCAGCTGCTACCTTGCTCTCGCTCCTGTCGCGCTGCCCGGAGGGGAGGGGAGGGGGGAGGGGAGGGAGGGGAGGGAAGGGAGGGGGAGGGGAGGGAGGGGAGGGGAGGGGAGGGGAGGGGAGGGGAGGGAGAGGGAGGGGGGGAGGGGGAGGGGGGGAGGGGAGGGGAGGAGGAGGGAGGGGAGGAGGGGAGGGAGGAGGGGAGGGAGGAGGGAGGGGAGAGGGAAGGGAAGGGAAGGGAAGGGAAGGGAAGGGAAGGGAAGGTAAGGGAAGGGAAGGGATGGCAAGGGAAGGGAAGGGAAGAGAAGGGAAGGGAAGGGAGGGGAGGGGAGGGAGAGAGAGAGAGCCTGAAAAGTGTGCCTTTGACAGGGATTCATGTCCATCAACCACTTTTGAGGTGGTTTTCAATTAGAACCCGTAGCCAAATGTAGTCCACCTGGAAAGGCGAAAGGCTTCTTTTGTACCTGTGGCCATGGCTCATAGTTGGTATGATTTGTCGATCCTCTACTAAAAAAAGGATCGGTCTTTACCATGGACACCCGTTCAGTTTTTCAACAAAATACCAACAAGAAAAAGTGGGTATTTGGAAAACGTGGGTATTGGGAGTAGGGGGTATGGTCTTGGGCTTCTTTTGTACATGTGGCCATGGCTAAAAACTATGGTCCACCTTAGTAGCCAAAATTACCACCAAATCTGCGGGTCATGGGTCTGGGGCAGAGCCCTTCAGGTGCCGTCCCCTGTCCCCCGGAAAACTCGATCCCATCGCTCGCTCTCCCGCTCGCTCAACCACAACCGGCCAAGCGAGGCTCCAAGCATCGGGTTCGGCTTGGGGGAAACCAAAGCCTTTCCCCAAGAACTGGTTCCCTCAAAAACTCGCCAGAAAGGGAGTTCACCAACCAAAAGTTTGGGGCAATAACATGCAATAACCCATTCTTTAGTTATTTTGAGGGTTCAGGTACCCCCAAAACCTTCGACACTTGGCATGTGACCTAAAAAACAAAAGCCTTCCCAGTTCCGCTCAGACTCGCCTCCAGGTCGGACTCTATAAACCTGGCGCCGAAGCTTAGTTGGTGGTTTGCGTTGGAATTTGAAGTTTTGTGTTCCAACCCCAAATTTGTTGTCTTAGTCCTCCAGTAGAGCGGCTAGAATAAGGGTACCCTTTCTTTCGGTAGTGTATTTTAGTCGGGGAACCCTCCCCCAAACAATGGTAAAAGGGCACTGCTGGGGGACCTAGTTGTAATTGGCGAAATCAGACTTTGAACTCCTTGGCAATTGTTGCAAAGACTTTGAATTCCTGTGCAAGATTTGCTCAAAGCGTCAAAATCAGAACTGCCCAAGAGTCCAACCAGCTTTTCAGTTCAGCGCACTCAAAGTCTGGCTTAGCCAGGCAGGCTTCGAGCTGGAATACATGATCCCAGTGTGAAACAGGGAATTTCTACTGGTTGGTTGTTTGGATGATATTCAAGGACCTTTCCCTCCAAGCCCTTCATATGAGTTCATTTCAGAAGAAGTCCTTCTCTTGCAAACGCACCCCTCCACAAGGTCTCAGGCCATGTTGTTCGTGTCGTTCTCATTCGACGTATTCACCGCCACCGCAGTGCCAACCACCTGGGCCTGGATTCCTGGCGCCGCGGCAGCTGGGGCTGGAGTCTTCATCTTCAGAAACTTCCAGATGCCTGGCTGTGGTTGTCCAAACCCAGGAAACCCCTGATCAAAATAGGTGGCCATCCACCCCAAAATGCAGCCATAGGTTATGCCCCATGGCTGCCTTGGTTCATTGGTCCTGGCTAAAAACTCCAATATCATTTGGCTCACGGCTCTAAAAGTATATGGCTGGGAGCTGCCAAGATGCCCAAGGGAAATGCCAGCAACAAGAGCAACACCCCAAGCAGCTGCACAATTTCGAGGATCTGCCACAATCCAGGATCATACCAAACGTCTGCATCATAGTCGTAGAACTCAGGAACTTCGGCAGTTTCGATGGAGTACCACAAGCCGATCGGATACAGGCACAAATACATCCCCACGTAGAAGGGCACATCTAGGAGATGAAATCGCGTGCAGGGGCAGGGGCATTGCACGTCCTTCATGGTACAACAGCACGGCGCGCAGCAGCGTGAGATCAAAGCCACCCACCACAGCAGGACCGCCGGAATGCCCGTGTAGTACGCAGCGAAGGTGGTCCCCTTATAGAACTCGAAGTAGGATGAGACGGTCCCCGGGGTAGTTTCCGTATCGTTATAGAGGCCGACGATGGCGATCAGATTGAGGCCACAGAGGCCCAGCAACACCGAACCAACTGCCACAGGATCTGAAGTCCTCGGTTTGAACCGATGAAGTTGCAAATCCCCTCACAGCACATGCCGTAAAATAAGCAGTGACACTGCTAAAATTGGGATGTCAATCCCTTGGCCTTTCGAGCCACGAAAGCATCGGATGGCAAGCCAAGAAGTCCAGCTGCTTCCGCCCGAGGGAGGGCCAAAAAAGGAGGGCATCCACCGCGAAATGGGGAACTGCTAAGAAATGAGGGAATTACTGACAAGCTGCTCCCTCGCCATGACGCATGATCACACAAGTTGACCCCAACGATGAAAGATATGCCCGGAGTTGGTAACTATTGATTGATTAGACATGCGCATGCCCACTTAGGGGGCTTGTTCATGGCTCGGTCTCAAACAACCCCCAAAGCAAGGCTTGGTGTTCCTCTCGTCTGGGCACCGATGAATCACGGGCAAGTGGACATGCACCTTCTTGGCGCCTTCGGAAGGTTTAACTCGTGCATTCAAGTTAATGTTAACCCCGGATTAATAAACCCCTGGTTGATTAATAGGGGGCTGTCCCCTTTTAGCATCACTTTTGCAGGGAACACCGCCCAAATGGGACAGGTTTATTAATCCTGGGTCAACATTCCTGGAAAGCCGTATGGCCATTATTTTTGGGACGGAACCCGTAGTTGGATCGTTTTCCCGTATGGTCATTTTTCCTGGCCGGTGGCCGTATTTGGCCGTATGCCACCCGTTTTTCACAAAAAGCCGTAAATAACCGTATGGTCATTTGTTTGTGGCCCAAGCCGTATGGACAGAAAAAAGAAGAAAAACAAACATCACCTATGGGTTTCCAGGTTACCAAACACCGGGGCAACACGGGCCACCAGAAGATGTAAACATCTTCCCGATTGCTTTGAATGGCTTCGGGATCCCAACTGGCAAGGGTTGAAGTCCTGCACAAAGCACAGATTCGTCATGGGCCGTAAGCCGTCCAAAGCTCGAGATCGACGTCAGCGATTACTCAAAGACGAGCAAACCGGAAGAAAGGCTTGGAAAGCAGCTTATATACCCGGTGAGTCATATCCAGCAAACGAGAATACCCAAAAGCTTCAAGGGTCTTAGGACGCAGCTTCCCAGACCCCAAGGGTTTTCCCGAGCTGTTCGGGACCAAACGAACGATCAGATCGGGCAAAGCGAATGAATGATATGGTTGACAGCTGAGCTTACCCCCGACTCCAAATACCCTCTTTTTCTAGGGTATGATGTCGACTTTCTACTAAAAAAGGGATCGTGATCGGTATTAACCTTGGAAACCCGATCGGTTTTTCAGAAAATACCCAATAGAAATAGGGTGGGTATCTGGACGTTACGGGGGTATAATTAGACAATCCCTTGCGCTGTCCTTTTAGGGGGTTCTGAAAACATGCGAGTTTTTGAATCCAGCGTAGACTTCAACGGGGGGGGGGGTTCCTGGCACCCAATAAAAACAAATCACACCCTTTTGGGACGGCCAGGGACTCCTGGCAAGTGGCTTGGATTGGTTTGGCCGGGTGGTTTCCTACCTTTTATCCGAGCGGGGGTTCTTAAATCTCCCCCATCCAATCTTGGTTGACGTTGAAAGGGTAGCAAAAATCTAAATTCTAGCAGCCAAGTGGTTGGATTGCAACCACTAAACCACAATAAGCAAAAATGTAAAGTGTTTCCCAACAACAACCATCCAAACCACCAGTTCAGGGTGCCGGACGTTTTTTGTGGCGGAACGGGAAGAACTGAAGGAGGTCGCTCCAAGCAGTCTGGGTGACCTCAAGGGGGCTGGACGGGGGGTTAAGGTGTTTCCTAGGCCTGAAACGATGCCGTGCCTCTGAAATATAAAGTTCCCCACACTCATCAAAACTAGGCTGGAATTAGGACTCCAGCAAGTCAAACAACTTGTTTGCCTGGTTAGTGGAAAACAAAGGGACCCCAAAAAATCAAAACAAAACAAAAAAGGGGGAGCTAATTCTGGGGAAGAAGAAGGGTGTGATTCCCTTTTTGGTGCAAGGCACCCCCCCGTTGATGTCTACGCTGGATTCAAAAGCTCGCATGTTTTCGGAAGCCCCAAAAAGCAAAGCACAAGGGATGGTGGAATTATAGGAGTCAAGTCACAACTCATTCTCTGCCTATTGGATGGAGTCTCCATGATTGGAAAAGGGATAAGGAGACCCCTTGGTTTACGCAAATAACTATCCCTGGAACATGAATTGTTTGGAAAACCTGACTTTTCAGCGTAAATACCTGCTTGATTAGTAGAGGGTCGACATGATACCCTAAAACAAGTGGGTATTTTGAGTCGGGGGTACACAATGGACCCCTTATTTTGGGCTTGAGGATCATGGAGGCTCCACACCCGTTTTTTGAGGGTCATGGAGACTCCACGTAGCTGCACTTCCCCAATACAAAGTGCTTGTTCACCACTCACACGATCCAAACCCAAAAAGCGCCTTTGGTCAATGAATTCAGGGAGTGAGAATTGAATTGGGGTCAATCCATCCGAGGAAAACCCCCGACTCCAAATACCCACGTGTTTTTTCAGGTATCATGTATTTGTTTAATATTTTTTCTTAAAGAGGCATTTACCTTGAAAAACTGACCGGCTTTCCAAAAGCCACCAACTAGAAAAAGGCCGTGGAGTACCTGGAGTCTCCATGACCCTTAGAAAATTGGTCATCACCCAAAATAATGGTTGGTCATGGACCCATTTTTAAGGGTTATGGAGACTCCAGCCAGAGAAGCGCCTCGAACTTCGCGAGTCGCTTGCTTGGTTCCGGAGCTTTCGTCCCCCACCTCCGCGGTGCATAAGGAAGGCGCCCCCCCCACCACCAGCAGCTGCTCGGGCGCCAAGGCCGCAGCCCCCGCCGTGGTCCTCCGGTTTCGCGGCCGAGCGGCCGGGCAGTTTCGCACCACGAGTTGCTACGGTGAAGCCCATCTAGGTCATCCAGCTTTGGAGAGTAGAATAAGAGTACCCAATATATTTTTTCTGTAACCCAAAACCCCCCCAAACAACTTGGGCAAAAGGGCACTACTGGGAGACCTAGCCTTGATTCTCACGTGCTTTGCCCATGTGTGTCCTTTTAGGGGAAATAAACGGCCCTGGTAGATGATTAAACCACCAGGTAAACCAGGGCCATCTATTTTCCGAGCAAAACACGTGGCTGTGGTTGTCAGGTGCACCACCCATGTTTTAACCTATTTTAGTGGGGATTGGGATGTTCACTGGGGGTGCGGGATTTTGACCCATGGCCACGTGATGTTCCTTAATTCTCACCACCACTAAAAAAACCACTGGTGCGAATTTTGTGCACCTGGAGTCTCCATGACCCGAAATAAAAATGGGCCCACGGTGAGATTTCAGGGATACTCGGGAGACTTAAGTGCGCTTCCCCACTGGTTTTCTGGGCTTGGGGAATCCAACAACACCACCTCGCCATTTTGGGAGGGTGCAAACTCTGGCAAAAAAAAGGGCCCACAACGCGTGATCACGAAGCCTCCCACCCCCACCCAAAAAAACACAAACCTGGAGTCTCCATGACCCTTTAAATAAAAATGGGCAACCATGTCCAACCAGTATTTTGGGTAGTCTGACCCTTCCCATTTTTTATTTCGGGTCCGTAGTTGGAGACTCCAGGAACCAAAAGATCCGAAAACCAGGTCCGGGACCCAACCGCCAGGAACCCCAGGAACCGAACCCCGAACCACGGGTCCCAGAGCTTGGCTTTTGAGCCCCATAGCCAACAAATCAGCTTTTGGGGCTTGGAGCCCGGTTTGGCGGTTTTCCGAAAAAGCTTCCCATTTCGCCTCAAGAGCCAGGGGTTCAAACCCCGAATCACCGCCAATTCGCGGAAAGATCTGATTTCAGCTGAGGGAAAAAAAAACAAAAACCAACGGATTTCACGGGATGGCGCTCAGCGCCACATTTCTTCGACCCCCTCCAACCACCAGCTTGTAGGCGCGGCTCCACGGCAAAGCAGAACTTGGTCCCAAAGGGTTTGGGGCGATTTGGTCACAAAGACCAGCCATGGTTCTAGGGGTGGATTCCGATTCCATTCTTCTCAGCCATTCCAAAACCAGCCATTTCCCCAGGGTTTTTGGTGGTTTTCCAGAAAGATTCGGATCCCTGGGTTAAGAATGGAAATGGAAGTTACCCCTAGAATGGTAGAAGACCAACCTGAAATGATCATCCCGCTGAAAACATGAAAGGGACCTGGAGCAATGGAACCAAAGACCTGAACCCAAGCAAGATTTGGCAACTGGTCGGAAACCAAAGCTCGGTCGCAAGAATTGCCTTTGTGTATGCAAACCTCAGATGTGGCTGTGGCTCAAAAAACCGGTACCAAAATGGAACCCTGGTAAGTGCAAACATGGACCAAACCCTGCGGTTTGCCCCTGCTGTTTAATTTTGAGCCACACCCATGTCTGCCTGCCTGAAAGCCGCTTTCTCTGCTCTTCAAAGTGCTCAAATTCAGCGGTATCCCGGTCGCCCAGTGACCCGTTCAGAAGAACGAACGAAGCATCTTTCTGTTTGCGGCCAGGACCTTTCTTACAGTGTCCTGAACCCACCACGCATACAAAACGAAAAAGAAAAAACAACAAATTACACACAACACGCAAAGTGTTCAGAGGGTGCCACTGCACAGCTGAGGTATTCAGGATGCAACCTGAATTCGCGCTCCAAGGGGACCTCTGTCAGTCCGTCAACGTTTGGATCGCCCCATTGCCTACTGCTTCCGGTCAACTCTGCTTCAGCCAGTTGGTCCCAGGAAGTTTCAGGCGAATACAGTGACGAAACACTACCGCTCCTGTCGTATTTGTTTTTCCCCGAAAAACCGGTACTTCACAACCCTTGATATGGTAGCAACAAACTTTGATTTGTTCAGCCCCCTTCTAGAAATGAACAGAACCCCCGCCCCAACACCAACAACAGTAAAGATATTGGCTCACTTCCGATGTGAGTTGGACTATATAGCATCCAAAATATGTGCTTGATGTTGAACCCGGATTCAAAACCCCTGTTTGCTAATTTTGGGGTTTTGCCCTCCAGAAGTGATACATCCATCCCCGTATTATAAACAAAGTGGTGATTAATCTGGGGTCAACATTAACACTGAAATGGTCCAACCC